TCTCTCTCTCTCTCTCTCTCTCTCTCTCTCTCTCTCTCTCTCTCTCTCTCTCTCTCTCTCTCTCTCTCTCTCTCTCTCTCTCTCTCGGTCTCTCCGTCTCTCTCTCTCTCTCGGTCTCTCCGTCTCTCTCTCTCTCTCTCGGTCTCTCCGTCTCTCGCTCTCTCGGTCTCTCCGTCTCTCTCGCTCTCTCTCTCTGTCTCTACCTCCACAGATACTTCGAATTTTCCAAGCACACCCTTGCCCTGCCCAGTGGTTTACTCTTTCTCCCTCACTCTGTCTGTCTGTCTGTTGCAGTCTGCGTCCGGCACTTCTCACTCTCCGTTTTCCACTCTCCGTTTTCTTTCCTCTCTCCTCTCCCCCCCTTATCTGTGAGCCAGTCTTCTTTTGCCCCCTCCAACCATGCATTTGTTATATTCCCCTTTTGATCACGAGTGCGATGCGGGCATGAGGGTTACTTGATGAACCTGTGCCCGGTTTTGTCCTTTCTTTTCTTTTCCTTTTCTTTCTTTTCTTTTCCCCTCCTCTTTGCTGTCATTGTGGTGAGATGATGGATGGATGGATTGATGAATGGATGGGACTTGGTTGGAGAGTGACTTGTTCTTCAAAAAAGGACTTGGAAATTGCATGTGTGCGCTCTGTGCCACGGTCAGTGAAAGATATGTGTCTGTGGTGGGCTACCTTAAATTGAATTTGATTTAAAATTTTAATAATAGTAGAGATTCGCAGGCTGAAGGCGTGTTGATTCAAATTTTGCTTTTTTCAGCGTTCCATTAACGTTCTTTTTATTTCAAGATAACTGTATAATTTATTGATCCATGGATGAACTCCATCGACGGATCGGTCACCTGTGGCTCGCAGATGGTGGTGAGAAGTCCGTACCCTATCTTTCACCCGAACAGTTTAGAAACGTCTTGGCTGCGTATAATGAAGCCCAACCTAGTGAGTCTATCCCTATTGGCCTCCACGTGTTTTTTTCTTCCTTGTCATTTTCCTCGTTTCTCATCTGTGGCCCTCCCCTCACGCGACTCCATTTCTTCTACTCCCCCTCCTTACTTCCTCCTGCCTTCCTCCTGCCTTCTTCCCCTACCTTCCTCTACCTTCTCCGCCCTTCCCCTACTTTCCCCTACCTTCCCCTTCCTTCCCCTCTCTCCCCCTCCCTCCCCTCCCCCTTCCCCTCCCTTCCCCTCCTTCCCTCTCCC